GGGTGGATCACCTGAGGTCAGGAGTTCGAGACCAGCCTGGCCAACATGGTGAAACCCCATCTCTACTAAAAATACAAAAAATTAGCCGGGCGTGGTGGCAGCGCCTGTAATCCCAGCTACTTGGGAGTCTGAGGCAGGAGAATCGCTTGAACCCTGGAGACGGAGTTTGCAGTGAGCCGAGATCATGCCACTGCACTCCAGCCTGGGCTACAAGAGCAAAACTGAGCCTCTTAAAAAACAAACAAACAAACAAACAAAAAAACGGGAGTGAATCTCTTTCTCTGTTTGGTATGAGGGAAAATTAGAGTTTTTTCTTCCTTTTAAATCTATATTTGCTCTTCCAGGCCTGTAAGCTCACGTTCCCCTCGGGGTATCAGCTGCTCCCCCACATTGTCTGGAGATGCGTGTTGGGGAAAGGCTGAAGGCCAGGCTTTAGTCTCTGAAACTTCTGGTGATTTGAAGCAGAGGAGCGTTCAGGGGCCCAGGACCAAGGGGAGACCTGGAAATCGTGCCCCCTCTTCCAGCTGTGAGCTTCCCCCATTCCGGGCAGCTCGTGAGTTGACACTCCGAGCCCTGGGGTGCTGGAGGCAGGAGGTCAGAAAATACCCAAAGAACAGCTGCAGCCCTTACCCCTCCATGATTCCTCGGTTCTGCAGGGATTGGGGTCTGCCTCAGGTACACCCTGGAAACCAGCAGCCTGGGCTGTTACTGCTGATTTCTGAAGACAGTGCAGGCGGTAGCTGTTCCAGTGTGAACTGGGGAAGAGGCAACATAAGACACTCCCTGCCTTGTGTCTTGCTGCCCCCTCTGGCTCCCATCTACTGTAGGCTGCAGCCAGGCCCTGCTCAGCCTCAAACCCATGCCTCAGCTTCACCCCACCCTGCGTCTGCCCAGGGGTGTCTCTTTTTCTTTTTTTACTCTTATATTAGTTCCTCTGATCTATGTTTTCCTTTTGTTCCTGGCTGATTTGGCGGTAGGGAGCCAGAACCCCAGGCTGATTCACCATCTCCATCTAAAGGCCATTTTCTGTTTACCACCCTGCCTAGAAATAAGTTGCATTTTACTCTGTAGCACTTAACACAAATAACTTGATTTAGGTACCTCCAGGAAATATTTCTGCGGAATGAATAAGCCCTCCTTGCATTTCCAGAGCTGCATGGTGTCTGTGCTGAGCAGTTCAGTGTGGGGTGCTCCTCTGGAGGTGCTGAGCAGTTCAGTGTGGGGTGCTCCTCTGGAGGTGCTGAGCAGTTTGCTGTAGGGGTGCTCCTCTGGAGGTGTCTGTGCTGAGCAGTTCGGTGTAGGGGTGCTCCTCTGGAGGTGCTGAGCAGCTCGGTGTAGGGGTGCTCCTCTGGAGGTGTCTGAGCAGCTCGGTGTAGGGGTGCTCCTCTGGAGGTGTCTGCTTGAACCAGCCAGGTGAGTGGTTTCCATCTGGCATTTATGGGTGGAGCCAGGGTGGTTAAGTTCAGTGTGTGCTGCAGACCTGGCCTAGATGCAGGTCAGACCCGATGGAGACATGCCAGTAGCTCACATTCCACCCTGCTTCCCACCTGCTAGCCCTGATGTGAACCTACCCAACATCTAGTTTGAGGCTTTAAATAATCTGAGCTCCCAGCAAGAGAACACCAGGATTTAGGTTTCCAAATTAATTAGATCATCTAAAATAAAATGTCTACTGCATCCACAGGCAGTAACCCTCTGGAACTAGACAATTCATGTGAGATAAGAAAGAAGAGCCCACAAGACCAAGAATGCATTCTCAGTTTACAGACCACTGACCAGAGACCACTCCAGGGTGTCAGGACTAAGAGAAGTCACAAAACAGCGGGTTTCCCAAGAGCAGTGGAAAATGATCCAGTCACAGGTGGGTTATCGGTTCATCCTCTGTTTCGTGGATGTGATGAGGCTTATGGAAATCTCTGCAACACACAGAAGGGTCTAAATACATTTAAATAAGAGAAAATATAAGCTTGGGAAAGAAGATGTCAAAAGAAGCACATAGTAGATTATAGAATCATACAAAAGTCTCAGCTGGGCATGGTGGCTCACGCCGGTAATCCCAGCCCTTTGGGAGGCCAAGGAGGGCAGATCATTTGAGGCCAGGAGTTTGAGACCAGCCTGGCCAATATGGCAAAACCCTGTCTCTACTAAAAATACAAAAATTAGCCTCATAGCTACTCGGGAAGCTGAGGCATGAGAATCACTTGAACCCAGGAGATGGAGATTGCAGTGAGCTGGGATTACATCAGTGCACTCCGGGGTGACAGAGTTAGAAAAAGAGTCATACAAAAGTCTTAAAGTTGGAAGAGATCAATAAGAAATGGGATCCTGCCGGGCATGGTGGCTCACGCCTGTAATCCCAGCAGTTTGGGAGGCCGAGATGGGTGGATCACGAGGTCAGGAGATTGAGACCATCCTGGCTAACACGGTGAAACCCCGTCTCTACTAAAAATACAAAAAATTAGCTGGACGTGGTGGCAGGTGCCTGTAGTCCCAGCTACTGGGGAGGCTGAGGCAGGAGAATGGCGTGAAACCGGGAGGCGAAGCTTGCAGTGAGCCAAGATCGCACCACTACACTCCAGCCTAAGCGACAGAGCTAGACTCTGTCTCGAAAACAAAAAAAGAAATGGGATCCTTCCCTATTACAGAATTGAACTGCAAGCTTTTCTCAGGTATTCCCAGAAGCCATAACAGAAGGAAAAGTAGGGATAGTTAATGTGGTTTCCTCTTATCAAAAGGGCAACAGAGTGAGATTCTGTCTCAAGAAATAAAATAAAAATAAAAAAACAAATGGGATCATGTATGTGACCTTTTGACAGTGGCTTTTCTCACACAGCATACCTTTGAGATTCATTCATATCTTGTCAGCAGTTTGTTCCTTTTTCTTGGCATGTGGTTCTCTTGAATACTATCCCATGTATGGATGGGCCACAGTCTCTATCCATTCACTCATTGAAGGACATCTTGGTGGCTTCCACTTTTTAGCAGTTTTGAATAAAGCATTCATCTCCATATAGGTTTGAACATAAATTTTCAGGTGAATGTAAGTTTTCAGTTCACTACTTGAGTAACTAGGAGTGGGATTGCTGGGTTGTGTGGTAAGTCTGTGTTCAACTTAGTAAGAAACTGCCAAATGTTTTCCAAAGCTATTGTACATTTTACATGCCCACCACAATGAATGAGAGTTGCTGTTGCTCTGAATCCTCACTGATATTTGTCAGGTGTGTGTGTGTGTGTTTGTGTGTGTGTGTGTGTGTGTTTAGTTTTAGCCTTCTAATAAGTACATAGTAGTATTTCATTATAGTTTTAATTTGCATTCACCTTTTGACATGATATTGAACATCTTTTCCTATGTGTACTTTCCATCCATGCATTTTCTTTTTTTTTTTTTTTTTTTTTTGAGTCAGAGTTTCACTCTTGTCGCCCAGGCTGGAGTGCAGTAGCACAACCTTGGCTCACTGCAACCTCTGCCTCCCAGGTTCAAGCAATTATCCTCCCTCAGTCTCCCCAGTAGGCAGGATTACAGGTGTGCATCACCACACCCAGCTAATTTTTGTATTTTTAGTAGAAATGGGGTTTCACCATGTTGGCCAGGCTGGTCTCAAACTCCTGACCTCAGGTGATCCTCCCGCCTCGGCCTCCCAAAGTGCTGGGATTACAGGCGTGGCATGAGCCACCACGCCTGGCCACCATCCATGTGTTTTCTTTGGTGAAATGTCAAGATATTTTGCTAATTTTTAAAATGGGATTATTTTCTTATTAACAGTTCTTTATATCCTGGATATGAGTGCTTTAGCAGGTATGTAATTTGCAAATAATTTTCTCTTAGTCTGTGCCATATCTTCTATTTCTCTTAACATTGTTTTTCACAGAACAAAAGTTCTTAATTTTGAGAAAGTCCAATTTATCAAATATTTTTCTTAAATTGATCAGGCCTTTGGTGTTGTATCTAACTCATTGCCAAACCCAAAGTCATACAGGTTTTCTTTGGTTTTATTCTAAAAGGTTTATAGTTTTTTATGTTTAGGTCTGTGGTCCATTTTGAGTTAGTTTTGATATAAGGTGTGAGGTATGTGTTGAGATCTCTTCTTTTGCTTATGAGTATAAAATTATTCTGACATTATTTGTCACAAAGACTGTAGAATTGCTTTTTGTACTTTGTGAAACAATTGAGTATATTTGTAGGGGCTTATTTTCGAGTTCTCTGTTCTGTTCCATTAACCTGTGTTTTTATCCTTTCACAAATTCCATCCTGTCTTAATTACTGTGCTTGTATAGGAAATCTTGAAATCAAGTAATGTGAGTCCTTTTATGTTTAAACTCTTTGGAACATAAATGTGCCTCTTTCATAGGCAGCATATAGCTGGGTTGCTTTCTATTTTCCATTTCTGTTCTTTTGCTTCATTATGAATTTCTTCTGGTCTGTCTTCCAATTCACTTATTCCCTCTTCATCTTTTTCTAATCTACTCTTAAGCCCTTCCGTTGACTTCTTAACTTTACTTACTATGCACTTTATCTCTAGGAGTTGTATTTCGTTCTTTTTCAAATCCGTTTATTCATTTGTATAGTCTTTTGATTCTTTTTCATACTTTCATTAGCATCTTTTATTTCTTTGAATATATTAAATGTATTTATTTTATATTCTGTGCTGACAGTTCAAATATCTCAAGTCTTTTATACCTCTCCTGTCTTTTTTAAAAATTAGATTTCTCAGGCCGGGCAAGGTGGCTCACGCCTGTAATCCCAGCACTTTGGGAGGCTGAGGCGGGCGGATCACCTGAGGTCAGGAGTTCAAGACCAGCCTGACCAACATGGCAAAATCCCATCTCTACTGAAAATATAAAAGTTACCTAGGTGTCGTGGCGTGTGCCTGTAATCTCAGCTATTCGGGAGGCTGAGGCAGGAGAATCGCTTGAACCCGGGAGGCAGAGGTTGCAATGAGCCAAGATCGCATCATTGCGTTTCAGCCTGGGCAACAGAGTAAGACTCCATCTCAAAATAAATAAGTAAATAAATAGATTTCTTTTATTTTTTATTTTATTTATTTATTTTTTGAGATGGAGTATCAGTCTTGTCGCCTAGGCTACAGTGCAGTGGCGCGGTCTCAGCTCTTTGCAACCTCCGCCTCCCGGGTTCAAGTGATTCTCCTGTCTCAGCCTCCTGAGTAGCTGGGAATACAGGCGCATGCCACCATGCCCAGCTAATTTTTGCACTTTTAGTAGAGACTGAGTTTCCCCGTGTTGGCTGGGCTGGTCTCGAACTCCTGACCTCAGGTGATCCGCCCACCTCAGCTTCCCAAAATGTTGGGATTATAGGCATGAGCCACTGCACCCAGCCAATTTTTTTTTTTAATGTGTGCATTCTGGTTTCTCTTTTACTCTGTACTCATTTTTCTTGAACCTTTATTTGTGAGAATTATTTGAATCTCTTTCTCTAAATAGAATTTGCATTTGATTCTGCTGGATGCCTGAATGCACATCACCCTCAAAAACACTTTAGAACTCTGTGCTTAAGGTTTTTGCAAAACACATCTATACTGGAGTTCAGCCCATACACCTATATAAATCTAGCTTGTTATAATTCTCAGGGACAATTTCTGACCTCTTTGTGTAACACTAACATTTGAGGCAAGAAATTAGTTTTCTTTGATTTTTATTTTTCATTTACCCACACACAGAGTACTCTTTGTCTTCCAGCTTTATGAGGGAAAGTAACCTATTAGTCCTCTATGCTTGGGCTTGTTCTAAGCCTTTCTCCTTTCTTCTATGTTCCTTGTAACTATTGGGACAGGAATGTTCAAATTTACCTGAGTCCAAATGGAGGTTGGCCTCTGCTTACCTCTCAAGTTTTCCACTTTCCCTTTTAAAGAAGCCAGGACCTTTCCCACCGCTGCCACTCCCACTTCCTCTCTTATATTCCTGAACTTGCATCCCTGAGAAAACACACTCTGTTTCCATGCCTTTGCTCATGCTGCTGCCTTGAGAGTGTCCTTTTCCTCATCCCCCTCTGTGACCAGGACTTTGTAGAGACCCTTCATAAGCCTTACTTCTTTATAGCACCTGAGCCAGTGTTGTCAAATCCAGTGTTTTTATCCCTGTTTTGTCTCTATATTCTGTAAATGCTAGTTTCATAGTCCTGTAACCTTATTCACTCTGGCCTGAAGGGTACTTGAGAACATGATATTTTTCTACTCATTTTTAAATTTCTGATACGTGTTATGGTTCCTGGAATCTTTTTTCTTTTCTTTTCTTTTTTTTTTTTTTTTGAGATGGAATCTTGCTCTATTGTCCAGGCTGGAGTGCAGTGGCGCAATCTTGGCTCACTGCAACCTCCACCTCCAGGGTTCAAGGGATTCTCCTGTCTCACGCTCCCGAGTAGCTGGGATTACAGGCATGCACCACCACGCTTGGCTAATTTTGTATTTTTAATAGGATGGGGTTTCACCATGTTGACCAGGCTGGTCTCCAACTCCTGACCTCAGGTGATCCACCCGCCTCAGCCTCCCAAAGTGCTGGAATTTCAGGAGTGAGCCACCGCACCCAGATCGTTCCTGGAATCTTAATTGCTCAATACGTGTGTTTTGGAAGATATCTGAAATAGCTGGCCAGTTGTTCTTACTTGGGAGCAGAATCACTCCCAGAGGGAAGACAGTGGTTTTTTGTTTGTTTGTTTTGTTATTTATTTATTTGAGATAGAGTCTCGCTCTGTTGCCCAGGCTGGAGTGCAGGGGTGCAATCGTGGCTCACTGCAACCTCCATCTCCCAGGTTTAAGTGATTCTTCTGCCTCAGTCTCCCTAGTAGCTGGGATTACAGGCACCCGCCACCATGCCCAGCTAA